CATGTCCTTCGAGTTTAATTTACTGTTTAGATAACTAATTCACCGGAGTTTGAGCTAAGGTACTATATTCTAACCAGTAATCATTAATGAGTGAATCTCAATTTTTAATTTTCTAACTCAAATCATAAATTCATTAAATAAAAATATATAGTAACAACTATTCTAATTCGTCGTAATAATGGTTGTAAAAAAAATCGTCGTAATAATACCTAGTTCTTGCCATATATATTCTCCACACAGAATGAGAAAGGAACAAAACGTTGGCTCAAGATAGGGTGCATAACCATGGGTTATGCACCCATCAATAATCAAATCTGGACCCTTCATTTAGAAAATCCAGATCTAAGGATGGAGAATTAAAGACTATTTTTATTTTCACTAGCTTTCTTAATTGACTCATATCTTTTTCGTTTTAACTCGGATTTTAATTTTTTTTGCACAGATGGAACGAGTTCACCGTGCTCTACAAAATGAGATCAATTTTCAATATTTTTTGAGGAAAAAAATTCTGGCCTCTCGGTACCAACTGCATACCGTATGGTATTTTCTTCGTTTTTAATTCGTTTTTGAAAACGTTTGCACAGCAGGGACGAGTTCATCATGATCTACTGGATCTACAAATTTCTGGGTGAACAAAATACAGGACCAAAAAATACCACACAATACCATACAATACCACCCTGGTACGGGGTGGTATTGTATGGTATCTTTTTCGTTTTTAATTCGTTTTTGAAAACGTTTGCACTGAAGGGACGAGTTCATCATGATCTATTGGATCTACAAATTTCTGGGTGAACAAATTACAGGACCAAAAAATACCACACAATACCATACAATACCACCCTGGTACGGGGTGGTATTGTGTGGTATACAATGTTAAAAGTCGTAAATTACAATTAATATACTTCTACTATCATGTATTCAACCATCCTACAGTATTGGTTTGTTCATACCACCATGGTACGTTTTTCAAAACATAGGTATGCTTTTATTTCAATACCAGTCAATACCATATGGTATAGGCTGGTAAAAAATGGCTCAATTTTTTTTGTTCGAAAAATATATTAAAGTGGATATCATTTTGAAGAGCACAATTAATCTGATCTAACTGTGCAAAAAAAATTAAATTTCGACTTAAAATGAGCGAGAAATCGTCCGTCAAAGATTAAAGAGGGAAAAATTAAAGGTTTTCTATGAGAGAGAGGATGCTGATGTCATGCTGATGTGGACGAGTTACTCATAGTTACTCACCATAAGGTTACTGACCTGATCCATTCCCCAAAACGTTCCATATAGATTTGGTAACTCGGGCGTAAGAAACAAAGCGTGTATATAAAATTGGAAATCTCTTTCGTAGAGGCCGCATAATTGGATTTTGTTACGTTCTTCACATATGAAGAGGCATATATAGCCATTCGCGGATCCAATACCAAAGAAGGTGGGTTTTATTTCCGGAGAAAAATGAATAAACATATATCGATAGTTAGGTTGTCATCGGTGAGAAAGGAATTGTAATCTCATTAATATTAGCCAATATTTATAACACCAAATCACGAAATATTATTATTTATATATAATACATTCTAGTTTCTTCATATAAAATATTAAAACTAAAACAAATTCATCCTTCAGGTCCTAAATCCTTAATTTTATATTTTACTCTTCTTACCAAATTCTCTTCTTCTTGAAACTTGTCATCTTTTTTTTTTATGTTTAACTTGTCATCTTCCTTTGAACCTAATAATGATTTTTCTCATAATCATATTTTAGAATTTGAACGTGTTATTATATATATGATTTGAAAAAAATTGGTATAAATGAATTACATAAATTATGAGGAATTCATTTTGAAATGAAATATTTTTATTTTTGGTATTTAAAAGAATTTATTTCCAATTCTAAATTTTGAATTCTAAGGAATTGGAACTACTTATAGAAATTTCGAGGAATTGAGATAGAATTTACAAATGAATTCCACAATAATTTACTAATTGTAATAGAATTACATAATTATCATCATTTATCAACAAAATTACTTCTACATATATTATTTGACTCCAATCCATGCAATATGAGGAACGTCGACAATAATTTGATTGCAACGCTACTAGCATATTCTTGTTATTTCATATTTTTGCTTCTATTGTATCAGTACACTGAGAAGTCACAGCTAGAGTGTCGCGTTCATCGACGGAAATATTCAAAAATAACTAATGAATTTAATAGAAACACACAAGAACACTTTGATATTCTACGTATGGGAACACAATGAGTTATGTAAAAACACTCTTTAATTTGAATTAGACAAACGAAAAATTATAAATAAGTATTTGATAATATATAATAAGATTGATATCATATGAATATATATTACAAGTTTTTATAAATATAAAAATACGTTGTTGAGTATTGTAAAATGTCTAAAATATTATCTTACGATATTTTATTCTAGATTCGGACCAACCTTATTTAAAAATTAAAATGCTCGCTAGTGGCTACACAGCTTCCAATATCCCAAGAACGAGTCAAGTCAGCAGAACTGGTCCCTAAGCGAGCGAGCGGCACCACGCTACGAGCCCATCAGCAACAGGATCTGCGAGCTTTAGAGCTTATCATGGTGGCGACCAAAACGATGGATCATAAGACAAAAGAAAGAGAGAAAGACAACAACGAAAGATCACTATAAAAAGGGCCCTTATTTCCAAGGTATTAATCACACAGCAACACGAATTACAGATTAAAAAGAGAAGGAAAACAAAGATAGTTAAGAGAGAGAGAGAGAGTTAGAAACCATATGGCCGCCATTTCATCTTCCAACTTCATCGTCGCCGCCGCGATCGCCATCGCTCTGTTGCAGGGCTGGCTTGCGGCTGCTGCAGGCTATCCCGCAGTCACCTGCAACGGGCGCAAGTACGGGAATTTGGACGTGAATTACGCCGCCGGTGTGGACCAAGCTATGGCAGATATGGTGGAGAATACGGTACCCGAGGAAAGTCACCATGCTCAGTTTCCCAAGGCGAAACCGGTCGTCTTCGGGCGTTCAGGCTGTGCCCAGGACTGCCAGACCAGCCTTGATATTGCAAGGGGCTATTTGCGTCTCAACTGTGCGTACCGGGTGGTTGCCTACATTGACATGGGGGACGGCACATATATGGGTTACTCCGACACGGATTACTGAACCCCACCCAACAACTCGATCGGTCACTTTTCTTTCGGGATGATAGTCTTGAGCTTCGATGCAGTAATGATTTGTTTTACAATTTGGTTAAATTGCACTTTTCGATTTCCTGGCTAGCTAGGTAAGTACGCCCATGCATGTAAACGATCGATCGATTTAATTACTTTTACGTTATGGCTAACGTGCGTAAAGACACACGGTTTAAGGTGTAGTAATCTATTGTCATGAACAGTGCAGTCAGAATTGCATTTTAAAGCGTAAGAGTGTATGTTTTTACGCATCTAGGTCACTACAACAAGTCAGTTTCCACCTAAAACCGTTTCGTACAAAAAATCGTCAAAATTGCAGGTAGAATCGTTAAAATCGGTAAAAACGTGTTTTGTGGTGTTTCTGTGCGATTCCAGTCCTTGACCATAAAATCAAGTTGCAATTTAACCAAAGTGATTTTGTTTTACAATTTGGTTTTTACAATCCTGGCTAGCTAGGTAAGTACGCCCATGCATGTAAATGATCGATCCATCGATCGGTTTAATTACTTTTACGTTATGGCTAATGTGCGTAAAGACATACTGTTTAAGGTGTAGTAATCTATTGTCATGAACAGTGCAGTCGGAATTGTGCTTTAAAGCGTAAGAATGTACGTTTTTACGCATCTAGGTCACTACAATGAGTCAGTTTCCACCTAAAATCGTTTCGTACAAAAAATCGTCAAAATTGCAGGTGGAATAGTTAAAATCGGTAAAAACGTGTTTTTGTGCTATTCCGATCCTTGGCCATAAAATCAAGTTGCAATTTAACTAAAGTGATGTGATTTTTTGTGTTAATTTTTTTTTAAAAACTAAAAATTACGAAAAAGGTGATATCGAGCTCGGCAGTCGACCAACTCCAAATCTCGAATGCGTATCCCTTAAGAAGTTGACCAATTAAATTGGATAAGCTTCTCCAAATCGCTATTATTGCAGCATCATCCACCCTCTCCATTGCGAACAACCCGCGACCTCCTCCGTTTCCAGCTCCGACCAGGATATGATAGTCCACTTGATGGTGATGGTCAGGAGCGGATACTTGAATCTTACGTTACAGTCATATCTCACCTCCCCAGTATAGTGATCAATTACATATTTCCCCCCGAATTTCATTAGTTCCAAGCTCAAGAACTTGGATTATTAAACTCGTATGTCATTATGTAAACTTACACCAGCTTGTGAATTGTGATGATTCTAAAAGTTGTTTGTGCGTTACGATATATATTTATGAATTTATTATTAGAATGTTGTGAGTTTGCTCTACTTTAGAATCGAAACAAATTAGGTTGTGTGTAGGAAATTGCAATTTAAATATGAATTACAAATATGTATACACTTATCTACAAGCGCGTTTTACATAGTCCAAATCGCTACAAATTTTCCTCCCATTACTCAAGTATCACCGTTTGTACCGGTACTTCCCTCGTCACTATCCTGTATGCATCTCACTCCCAGTTGCAGGTCACTTGAAGTAGCGGTCTCAACGTCTCTTTATTGCTCAGTGATAATACATAATTTGAGCATATTTCATATCCCAGAATAGTGACCAATTACATATTTTCCCCCAAATTCACCAGTAACAAGCTCAAGTGCCTGTTATCCATCTTCATTCCAAACTCCAAAGGCAAACATTTTCAGTGAAGTGAGAGTAACTACAATGGTTTACAGTCAATAGTTCTTAATGATTGGAAGGTTAAAGACAAAGGAAAAGAGGAAGGGGAAGAAATTAGAGTTGGGCTGAGGGATTGCTTCTGCAAATCCATCTTCATCGGTCATTGTTTAAGCCTCGTCTACAACTAATTCATGTTATAGGAGGATGAGAATGTTCCACAACATTGTATCCATCTATCAGCAAACTCATACATCTTAGAAAAATTATGGAGCAAGTCAATATTGGAAGCAAGCTTGCTTACCCACACTCGAATAAATATCCAATTTACCTTCTTACACATCAACTAAAACGTATCAGCACGAGGATAGACCTATCAATAATTCATTCTTCCATCACTTCTCACCATCTATGCACAACATTGTAGACGTTCCAAATAGATCAATCTTTCACGAGGGCGGCGGGACTGTAATATCATCATCCATTCTAACTGCTTCCGTCAAGTTGTCCATGTGAAAGAAGGTGCGCCATGTATTGCTGTACCAAATAATGTTAATGTACTTAATAACTGGTGAGCAGCAGGGATGATGCAGAAATCCTCGTGAATTATGGAAAACTTCAAAACAACAAATGCTGTAAAACGTTTCCTCGCGATGACCCTCAATATTCAGACAGAGCTAGCAGCTAATATGGAATTCAAAGGCAGAAATACAGAAGGGTAAAGAGAGACAGAGTATGACTTACAGCATGATATGCATACGGTGATTTCCCCTGGCGATCGAAATGTTTAGACATTATGCAGAACTCAATCGGACCCCATTCGTCTAACTCAAAGCAATTCCCCAATGCTGCTTTATACAACTATGATATCATGAAGTCAAAGCCACATTAGACAAACCTACAATGGTTACTCCAAACTAAAACGTAAACTACTATACATATTTATATAACACGAACCTTGGCCGTGTCTGTTAAAAGTTCAGTTCCAGCAGGATAAGCTGCATAAAACTGGTCATCCCTAGAAAAACCTGCCCTAGTTCTGCAGCACCAAAAAGGCATCCATCAATAACCTAAAACTGATATCTAGCAAACAACACAGCACAAAATCATATCATTGTAGTAGATGGAGTTGGACGATGTAATGGGGAACTCACGTATTGTTGGTATAAACATAGCTAACGGCAGCCGTAAATACGAAGAACCCAGTGTAAGAGACAACTCTACGAAGCTTCTGAATATTCAATATCTCTTTAATACCAGCAGAGATCATCGTTCTTTCTATCTAAGTACTCGGACAGCTGCTGAACTTAAACCCTGTAAATAAGAAGATGACAAGAGGGCAAAATACACCGAGACATTTCATCAAACACGTTGTGCGCGCAGAACAATCTACCCAAATCCATAACATTTACCAATTGAAAAACAAAAATGATCAGAGAAACAAAATCCCTGAAGCTTATTAAACAATTCTATCAATGATTCCGCAAATGTTCCGTACCGAGCAGCCTTCTAAATGAAAACCAGACAAGTCTAACGCCGGATGCGTCTGAATCAAAGGAGCATAGAAAGCAGCAGGCTCGGGGCGGCGAGTAGAAATCGGAATTGGTGGCCGGACGGACTGCCGGAAGGCTGACTTGGAAAGAAGCAGCACTTCACTGAGGTTAGGTTTCAGGAGACTCGCCTGAAATTCCTCGATGCATCCGATCGGGTCGGGTAACTCACCGTTAAGATGAGGAAGGAGAAGCCAATGGGCCCTGGCGATACCCTAAATTGGGCCCGGACCGATTTAGAAGGCCCACCTTAAATTTTAAAATGCTTACCCGTTCGTTCCATTTTTCGACCTCCTTTTCCCTCCCACGGGCCACGGCTGCTTTTTGCCCTTTTCTATTTTAAATCCAAAAATGAAAAACAAAAAGACAACAGAAAAAAAGGAAATGAAGAAAAAGCCTTCTTTTCCGAAGGTTGGTATAGTGAAGTCCATTTGTCTATTCAAATTTCAAAAGCTTCTTCTCTCTGATAACAGAGCCACCGAGCCACTGCCAAGCGGACTGCCGGCTGCCGCTCCGCGAAACCTCCTTCCGGATTCCCGAGCATTGAATTCTTCACCAGGTATTACTCTCTTCACCTGCTATTGTTGCATGATTGTAATTTGAAGCTTTCTTGAGGAAAAAGGTTTCCTCTTTTTTTCTTGGTGGTCTTTTCGTCGGTTAGGTTCGTTGTCTTTTCGAACTATTTCACTCCCCCTTTTCTCCACGGGATTTTGTCGTGGTTGCATTATTGGTTTGGTATCTGAAACAGCGCTATCGCTGTTGTTGTTGAGGGGTTTAATAAGCGGGGAAGTCAATTTGCTGCTTCTCTATCTGGTACAGGTGAGTTCTGGTGGTTCTTTGTGTTCTTTTACCCTTTTCGGTAAGGGGTTTGCTCGCGGAAGTTTGCACGGAGGCCGGAGCAGAAGGTGGGCGGTATTTAAAGAGTCATCTGTATCGAAATTTGACTCTGCGATTCTGGGGTCATGGGTTTGGGAAGGTTTTGGTAGAATCTCTTGGGCAGGTTCTAAGCGTCTGTTTTTGTTCTTAAGCACTTCAGCAATTTGTTATTTTCTGGCTGATGCCTATTTAGTAAATCATGCAAATGTTCCCTACCGAGTTCTCGTGATGAATACTCATGTATTTGTCTTATGTGGAGGCCTTGAAGGGATTGATCTCCACATGAGGTTATGCTTGTGCTTTTTTGGGAGTGATTGGACCACAAAGTTAACCAGGCAGCATAGAATTATGTTGCGAGTGGTTGAACCATTCAATTCTATAACTAGCTGCTGAACTTGAGCTTCCGTATCCTGCCATTTTGAGAAGTTTTGGCAAATGACAGTTGCTTTTATATTATATATAATTCTAACAATCGCAAGTGCTAATTTTCTGGGTTTGAGAAGTGTGACTTATTCTTTAATCGAAGACTCTTATTTCAATGTCAGCAGTCTTCTGGGAATAATCCCCTGTTTGTTGATTGCTTGGTGATAGTTAGGGGGAAAAGTTGAAACTCTTTGTAGCACCCAAAATTAGGACGGTCTGGAGAAGTTCTGATGGAGCAGTATGAATTCCTGGAGCAGATTGGGAAAGGTTCTTTCGGTGCTGCTCTGCTTGTGAGACATAAACATGAGAAGAAGAAGTATGCCTCGCTCCACTCTTTATGCAAGTTGATTATTTTCCCCTAAGCTTGATTTTGATGAAGCTCATCTCTCGTTTAGGTATGTGCTGAAAAAAATCAGACTTGCTCGTCAAAGTGACAGAGCCAGAAGGTCTGCACACCAAGAGGTCAGTGGTTTGTGGTTATTGGTTAATGTTACTCAAAGTAGTATCCAAGTGAACTGAAATCTCTTCCCCTTAAGGAATTAATGGATATGGGAATCAATCTCTCTCTTTCTAGTTTCTTCTTGCCAGAACTGTGTTAATTTCTGTAGTTCAAGTATTCTGCCTTGGCATATTCGATGGTTGCATGTGGATTTATGTTTCTTGTATAGTTCTGGTTTGGAAAGAAAAATAAATTGGCTTACCATGACCTACATAGGTTTTAATAGAATTTGTTTCTGAAATGCAGATGGAGCTCATATCTAAAGTGAGAAATCCATACATTGTCGAGTACAAGGATTCGTGGGTAGAGAAGGTACATATATGTAGCATGTTATTCCATGTTACTTAACAAGTTTTTGGTCCCCATACCAATACCAGAAAGTCTCTGTCAATCTTACATGTTGTCTGTGACAGATGGACATTTTTACATTGTGGTTGCACCACTTGCCTCTATCCTGTGTATCACTCATCACAGAGTGGCATGCTGACCATATTCCATAATTTTCATTTGATTTACATCGTTCATGCAGAGTTATCGTATTCTTGTGTAATTGATGGTTTGATGGCTTCATTTCAGGGCTGCTATGTCTGCATTGTTATTGGGTTCTGTGAAGGTGGAGACATGTAAGTTTCCACCCTTAGGTTAACTTGGGATTTGTTACATAAAATGACTTCTGTGATTTCTCCTCTTGATAATGTTAAATTGCTCACATAACTTTCCTGTTATTGCAGGGCGGAAGCTATAAAAAGGGCTAATGGTGTTCATTTTTCTGAAGAGGTTGGTGGTTGGCTCATCCTATTCGTTTCTTGATGAGTTATGCATTTTTCGTTTACGTCTCAAATGCATCTGAAAACTAAATTACGGTTGGTGCCACCCTATATGCAGAAGCTTTGCAAGTGGCTAGTTCAACTCTTGGTGGCTCTTGACTATTTGCATGCCAACCATATACTTCATCGTGATGTCAAAGTCCGTAAACATACTTCCCTGCACTCAGCCTTGGAACATAGTTGATAATTTTAGCTGAATTGTCATCCATTTACTGATGCTACTGAATATTTTTCCAGTGCTCAAATATATTTTTGACAAAAGACCAAGACATTCGTCTAGGTAACTGCTCTGCTACTGCCTTTTCTTTCTCTGTCAATTAGGCAGTTAGCTGATTATATCACAAAAGTGTGCAATAATTAAGGGTACATACGCTGTGTTCTGAATGTGTACTTTTTGGTTACAGGTGACTTTGGTCTTGCTAAAATGTTGACTTCTGATGATCTTGCTTCTTCTGTAAGTTCGGTATCTTTCTTACTTGTTATTAGGATGATCTCGTATTAAATGCTCTCATATAGGTATTCACCCAACATGTAATTCTACTATTACAGATTGTGGGGACTCCTAGTTACATGTGCCCTGAGCTTCTTGCTGATATTCCTTACGGTTCAAAATCCGATATCTGGTCACTAGGTAAAGCTATTTTCTTTCTTTCGGACTTTGGCGATCCGTGACTCTAACTGGAATGTGATGTTCAGCTTTGGTTGTGTTTTTTTTTTTTCAGGTTGCTGCATGTATGAAATGTCTGCCTACAAGCCAGCATTTAAAGCATTTGTCAGTTTGCTTTTTGTCTATTTTTCTTAGAAAAATAAAACTGCTGCTTTTTTCTTCACATTTCCATTAACCAGATCTTAAAGTATTCACATCTCTCTACCATTTCTGAACAGGATATGCAAGCTTTGATCAACAAAATAAACAAGTCCATCATTGCCCCTCTTCCAACAGTATACTCTGGTGGATTGTGAGTCTACCTACTGCCATTTTCATGATTTGTAACTACTTCCCATCTTCTGATCCACTGACTCTCCATCCCTACCTGTTTCCAGCCGAGGTCTTGTCAAGAGCATGCTGCGGAAAAATCCAGAACTCAGACCTAGTGTACACTACTACCTTGTCAATAGCTCTGAATCGGGTCACGTAAAGATCTAAGCTTGAATAGCTTCACTAATACTAATCTATCTTTGCCAGGCTGCGGAGCTGCTAAGTCATCCACAGCTTCAACCACATGTGCTGAACATTCATCTAAAGTTGAGCAATCCCAGAAGGAATACTCTGCCCTTCCGCTGGTCCGATTCCAGTTTCACAAAGAAAACTAGATTCGTGGAAGAAGATTCATGTATGATTACTAACACAGAGAAAAGGCTATCATCTTACTGCAACGACAGAAGCTTGAACCCTAGCATCTCAGAAGCAGAACCAGGCTCTACTTGTTCTTCTCAGGGAGCGTTGGAATCCCCAAGGCGTCTGAATCAGGAGAAGTTCAGTATTGCCCGCGAGGACATTGGGATTGATAAACAATTCCTTACTGCTACTTCTGCTGCCGCTGCTGCTAAAACTCCAAGATTTGTTCCCGCCAAAATTTCTACTCCCAGGAGGCTCTCAGCTACACCAGCAAAGATAACTCACAAGCGTGACTCGGTAAGATACTTCTGCTTCCTTGGGTCAAATGGTTTCAACAATACATATATTCTCACAATTCATAGATTCTTAATTTACATTTTCAAATCCTATGTTCTTAAGGTTTCTCATATGTTTTTATTTTCCAACTATAACTGCAGCTTCCAGTGACGTGCTCCCAATCGAACACACCTTCCCACTCCACGCGGAGAGCTTCTCTTCCATTCCCCAACAAAACCACTCCCGTCTCAAGGGAAACTCCTTACAGGTCCCAACTCCGTGCCCTCCATGTCCTGGAATCGCCTGATGTATCAGTAAACGCTCCGCGGTTAGACAAGATTGCGGAGTTCCCGTTAGCCTCCTCCGTGGGATCTCTCGTTGTCCCAATTCGCGGAACCTCATCGACCTCAGCACAATGCTCCTCTTCCTCCGCTGCGTCAGAGAGCAACATTGCAGATCGCTCAATAACGAAGGACAAGTGCATTGTCCAGGTGGTGGCCAAAGGCGTTGTCAGTAACAACAACCACGAAGTCAGGCTGCCAAGTGGTTCTGAATCCTCGTCAGGGCAGAATTCTGCTCTGACGAGGGTCACTACTACCACAACTGGGGTTCCAAGCGAATCGTCGGGGGAATCGAGGCAGCGGAGGTTCGACACATCGTCGTACCAGCAGAGGGCGGAGGCGTTGGAAGGGTTGCTCGAGTTCAGTGCACGGCTGCTACAGCAGGAACGCTTTGGCGAGTTGGCGGTGCTGCTAAGGCCATTCGGACCTGAGAAGGTTTCGCCCAGGGAAACTGCTATTTGGTTGGCTAAGAGCTTTAAGGAGACGACGGCCGTCTGAAGGTTTACGGGCTTTTGGATCGGCATTTTTCTTCCGGTCTTCAATCTCGAAGGCTGTTTGAAATGTTTCCCCGTGATGTGAATGATAGGTTTGGCATAGAACCTCATTTGGCGCGGGTAATAGTAATACGAATGGCTGGGATATTTCTGGCATCTCACCTTCTACTTCTAGAATTGTTTCCAGTTCTTGTTTTCTCAATACTCGATCTGTGAGTGTGACTGGTATGAGCTCTTAAGTTTACGAAAATGGTGATGGTTTAGTCAAGTATCCCAATGGTGGCGAGATCGTTGAGGAGGCGAGCTATTACGCTGATGTGCATGAACAGATCATCGTACTCTTTGCTTAGCATGGCCTCCTCGGAAAGGTGACATCCCAAGAAGAACGTTGGCACCAAGATGAACGGTCCAATGTTATGTAGCACTTTCGTATCATGTTGTAGTGTACACTTCCATTATATTGTCGGGATGATCTTGTCTCTTCTCCCTAAAGTAATATTGTCACATGCAGTCCAGCAACACAAGCCATTGCATTCCATCAACACAAACATCACATATTATAACCGCGAGATGGATTAGGCATGTAAGGGCGTGTTTAGTCACTTGACTAAGTCTCTCTAACTTTTAGATTTACACACCAATCTAACAATTTAAAAATGGGGAGAGTTTTTTAATTAGTAACAGGTAAGTTTGGTATTATGAAAAAAATTACGAGTTATACAAACCAGACTTACAAACAATACAAACCATACAAACTAGAATGTCAAAACGTACAAGCAGATATACAAATAAGGGCTAATACCACTACAACACCCAAACTATCCGGAAAATGCCACTTGTGTCCTATTGTTTCCAATATTCCATCTGTGTCCTGAACTATTATATTTTGTGTCATTTGTATCCTACCAATTGTGTTGACCGTTAAAGATAACAGTTGACCAAACGGCAGTCAACTTAACATTGACTTTTGCTTACGTGGCAATGCCAAGTCATTGACACCTCACATTTTTAATTCAAAATTAAATAAATTTTGAAAATAAAAAAATTGAAAAAACTTTAAATTCAAGAATATTATTTTAACCTAAAATTAATATTAGTTTTTAACCTAATCTCTTCTCTTCTCTCCGCCTCCGCCGGGACCTGTAGCTGGAGAAAGGAGCTGTGAATCCGTCACCAGGTCACAACTTCGGAGAGCTGTGAATCTGACTTTCCTCCTCACTTCCGTCGTCGCGGCAGCAGCAACCGACCACAACTTCGGAGAGCTTTGTTCCAAACCATTCACCCCATTCCAATCTCCACCAAGAGCTCCACCAATGACCACCTACCCAAGATCCACCGAGCGAATCGCGGCGGAGGAATTCGAATCGGCGGCGAACGATTGCTACTTCTTGGAACAGATCTGGAAGCTTCTCGCCGAAATCGAAGATCTCCACCTGCTAATGGACCCGGACGATTTCCTGAAACTGAAGAACCAGCTCTTGATTCGATCGGCGGCGGAGACGGAGACTTTCTGCTTCCGTTCGAGGTCGCTGGTGGAGATGAAGCACAAGGTGCCGGAGATTCTGGGCATGGAGGAACCCAGAAATCAACAAAATAGATCGACTAACCCAGAACACATCGACGAACAAAAACGAGGAACCCAGAGAACACTGAACCAGAAAGACGAACCCAGAACACTGAACAAGAACGACGAACCAGAGACCTACGACATCTACGCCACGACGGTGTACAAGGGCGGAGCTACCGATTTCGGGAAGAGCGACGGAGAAGAGGACGATGACGACGAAGAATCGCTGCCTCCGCTTCTCAAGCGCTCGCCCAAGGACTTCGGAGGTGGCGACCCGCTGGATGAACGCCGCTCTTAATCTGAACGTCGCCGCCAAATTCCAATCCCTAATTGCTCTGTCCGCCATTTACAGAGAGTTCCATATTGAAAGTCGAGAGAGAGAGAGAGAGAGAGAGAGAGAGAGAGAGAGAGAGAGAGGAAGCAGAGAAGCAACGAGAGGGAGTTAGTGGAGGCGGTGGGAGAAGGGGAGTTGATAAGGAGAGGGAGTGAATCGTCGATGGAGAAGAGAATTGACGATCTGGAGAAGAGAAGAAGGGTCGCCAGTGAGTCGATGAGAATCGACTGATTTGAGTTTTTTTTTTTGTAATTTTCCATCATTTTTATTTTGTTTTCCTTATTTTAATTATTTTAGATGAAAAAATAAATAAAATTGATAATAAAAATTCTACGTCAGATGCCACGTCAACGCTGACTGGATTTTCTATTAAATGCTAACGGTCAACACCGGTCAACACTAACGGAATAATAGTTCAGGACACAGATGGAATATTGGAAACAATAGGATACAAGTGACATTTTTCGGATAGTTCGGGTGTTGTAGTGGTATTAGCCCTACAAATAATACAAAACATACGAAGTATACAAACAATACAAATTAGACTGACAAATAATACAAAATTAAAAAAAACAACCAGGGTGACTTTGCAGGCTCCATCCCTATATAGAGAGGTTCCATCCCAAAGTCAAGCCGATTGTTTTTAGACATACAACATTACAAACATAGTAGACAAAAATGACAAACTAGACCAACAAAGCATACAAAATGGAAAAACAGTCGGGTTAACTTTGGAGAATCCGTCCCTATATAGAGGAGTTCTGCCCAAAAGTCAACCCGAGTGTTTGTAGCCATAGTCATAGTTTGGAGCTCTTACAGAACCTCCATATAAGTAGAAGTAATGTAACATCCCGAACCTTTTCGGGACGAAAATATTGTCCGCTTTGGGCCTCAACCCTCATGGTTTTTGACTTGGGATGAAGTTCAAGGTGACTTCCCATAAGGTCCCCAATCCTTGTTGTACTTCACACTGAGCACATTTAACTATAGAGTTCTCACAAAAATTCTCACAAGAACTCCTCCATTTCACCCCAAAACGTGTCTCTTAAGTTAAGGCTGGTTTCTTACTTATGAACCATGGATCTCTCTCATACTTTATCGATGTGGGATTCACCTAAGGTGTTACATACAACCCCCCCCCCCCGGACTAAACGCCCTCGTGAGGTTTGCCCCACCATCGTTCAAGAGGGACGCGGAGAGGCTCTAATACCACTTGTAACATCCCGAACCTTTTCCCCACGAAGATAGTGTCCGCTTTGGGCCTCGGCCCTCACGATTTTTGACTTGGGGTGCAATTTAAGGTGAGTGTCAAGAACCTATTGATCCCAATAACTTGAGTTGTTGGGAGAGGTTTAATCGTGGATCATATACTACTCACTAACACACCCCCTCAAAAGAAAGGCAGTCAACTGATAAGGGCTTTCGTTTGCACATGTCCTGAACACGAGAATACATGTGCTTCACAAATGGGGTCACCGAGATTCGAAGATCTCCCGGCCACAACAGGCTCTGATACCATGTCAATCACAATACGAGAAAGTAAATAATGCAAGGATTTGACGTGGTTTCCCTTAATATCAGGACTAGTCCACGGGAGAGATAAAACTCTCCAATAGCAAGTCTTATTCTCGTTAGTTCGGTATAGTTCACTATAGCTACATATATGTCAATCACAATACGACAAAGTAAAATACGCAAGGATTTAACGTGGTTTTCCTAAAAATCAGGACTAGTCCACGGGAGAGATAGAACTCTCCAAGAGCAAGTCTTATTCTCGTTAGTTCTGTAGTTCACTATAGCTACATATATATAGGTTCGGCTACCCTAACTGGCCGAATGGCATATTACATATTGGTACATCAACTAAATATTCTAAAACCCTCCCTCAAATTGATGTTGGGTGCGCAACATCGATTTGTATGATAGAAACCAATGTCGATTCGATGCGCCGGCCTTCGTTAGGATATCCGCCATCTGATCTTCAGTAGGTAGATAACCAACTTGAATCGTACCCTCTGCCACCAACTGTCTAATATAGTGAACATGTACCTCAATATGTTTGGTTCGATCATGTAGTACAGGATTAATGGCGATCTGAATAGCACTGGTGTTGTCACCATAGATTTTCATAGAGGACTTCTTAAACACAATAAACAACTAAACCAGTTGTGCCAAAACCACTTATAACATTTATGCGGAAAAACAAATATATATATGTTACAAACCGTCGAGTGGGGGTGCAGTTTGCAACCAAACCGCCCCGGCCCAATGTGGTCAGCAAAACGCCCCCTACTCGTGCAGTTTTCATTGAAAACCGCGCCACCACCCTGCAGTTTTCGTGTAAACCGCTGGGTGGGGTGGCGGCTTGTGGAAGAGGGTGCTATTATTGGAATTTTTCGCGGTTGGGTGATATTTTTAGAAAATTTTTTAAACAAAGTTATTTCTGGAAAAAATCCAAAATCATTTGTTTGGATATTCATTACATTTAGCATTTGGATTTGTGCCAAATTCATGGGGTGATTTACAAATACATGTCTAGTTTATTACTTGTCAACTTCAAATAAGTTTCAACAAACAATGATTTGAAATTCCTTGTAACAAAAGATTGGACCTATTTGTAAAATTTTAAAAGTTTAGTTACTATTGTGTGAGAGAAAATATATAAAGGTACCAAAACGTAATTCTACCACCAAAATTTATGGACCTTTTTGTAAACCGTTGAAAGTTTAGCTACTAAATTGTAAGAAAAAATAAATTTGATACCAAATGTAATTTACCAAAATTGGTAGTAATTCCAAATTAAAACAAAAATTATAAAATTTGAAATACAAACAAATCACAAATGAGTATCCAAGTAAAAACTTTGAATTACATGTATTTCAAATGCTAGTATTTCAAATACATTATGTGACATTTCATGGGTATTTCATATTGGAATGTGGTAATTTGCGCAATTGTCTTGTTTGTATAAAACATTCAACAATTGTGTTATTTCACCACTTAGAGAAGGGATGAAGTGAAAAAAGAGGTTGAGAGATGAGTTATTTTAAATAATTTGGGAGTGAGTAGGTATTTCAAATAACTCACTATGAGTTATTTCAATTGCCTCATGGACAAAATACTACATTCCGTTATATTTTTGTCAAACGAATTATTTAGGTTGAAATACCTCATCGAATTACCTCGTTCAAACGATCCGTAGTTAGATTTCAAATGTAAAGTAATTAAAATATATGTATTTAGAATATACAATAAAATAATTCAACGTTTTGATTCGAAATAATCCGGGTTAATTGCAAGGTTGGTTACTGGATTTACTAAAAACGTTCGTGTTTGGTCACTGCAAATATTTAATTTCATTCATGGTCACTAAGATTAGTTTAATAGTTCAAGTTTGGTCACTCTCCGTTAAACTCCGTTAGTTTTTGCTGATATAGCAGTCAACTATTATAATTGACCGTTAAATGAGTGACGTGGCCTATAAAAAATATTAAAATATTAAAATTTAAACATTTATAATTTCCATCTCATTTTATAACTATTAAAATATAAAAATAAAACTTAATAGATGGCTACGCCACCACTATTCTGATCCATGGTGCCGAATCTCCCCGGCTTTGGCGATCTTGAGGCGGTTCTCGGGCTTGTTCTTGGCGAGCAGCCTGATCTCCATGGTGGCCTGCTTCTGCTCGTCGATGGCGCAGGAGTCGAGGCTGGAGACGAGGTGGAGCATGAGGTCGTCGGAGTTGTCGGCGGTGCAGGAGACGAGGAGGCGGCGGCTCTCGGTGGAGGTGGTGGAGAACTCGCCTGATCGATCGCTGTTGCTAGCTGGGATTGAAAGCTGGGTTTCACACCTTTCGCTTTAGCCAATCACAATCCCCTGCAATTGTGCCTGAGCTCTCGCCCATTCTTTTACGTCAGCATCTGTTTTCTTATCTATGCTCTCTTCTCTGATAATCTCAGCCAAGAGACTTCAGTTCTGGGGATCTGGGTTCAACTGATGCATTGGTCAGGCTACTTGAAACCCAACTCGTATTCTTTGATTTGTGTGAGCAGTTAATTATCTTTTGCTGCTCTCGTCTTTGTTTGCTTGTGGGAAATGAGGGGTGTGCTGCCTTTTGTTCTTATTAGCCTTCTGCTCTGTATTTAACAGCGACCGATCCGGCGAGTTCCCCACCACCTCCACCGAGAGCCGCCGCCTCCTCGTCTCCTGCGCCGCCGACAACTCCGACGATCTCATGCTCCACCTTGTCTCCAGCCTCGACTCCTGCGCCATCGACGAGCAGAAGCAGGCCACCATGGAGATCCGGTTGCTCGCTAAGAACAAGCCTAAGAGCCGCCTCAAGATCGCCAAAGCCGGGGAGATTCGGCACCATGGATCAGAATAGTGGTGGCGTAGCCTATCTATTAAGTTTTATTTTTATTTTTTAATAGTTGTAAAATAGGGTGGAAATTGTAAATATTTAAATTTTATTATTTTAATATTTTTTAATGGTCATGTCATTCATTTAACGGTCAACTATAATAATTGACTGCCACATCAGCAAAAACTAACGGAAACTAACGGAGAGTGACAAAACTTAAACTATTGAACTAATCTTAGTGACCATGAATGGAATTCAATATTTGAAGTGACCAAACATGAACGTTTTTAGTAAATCCAGTGACCAACCTTGCAATTAACCCAAATAATACAAATGATGTATCAAAAGAGCCGCTAAATTCAGTGCACTGAAAGGTAAATAATTAGTTACATACTTTTCATTTTCTTATGAGAATTAATTCCAGGTCGCTACCGCGGTTTTCGCATAGATGGACACTAGCGTGGGCCCCGGCCAGTTGGCCGGAGAAGGGTGAGTATGAAATTTGATAATGTAATAGGGTGTATAGCTTATTATTGTATAGTTTTTTTGGGAAACACGTGATAAAAATAGTGAATTTTAGTATGAAAGAGACATGAATGATACAACGAATAAAAAATCAGCCTTATGAACCAAAATCAAGTACCTGTTACCTTGTGAAACAATATTATTTCTGGTAATATGATGAGGTGGAGTAAGTTTTATAGAAACTAAATTCCAAAAAATCGAATAAAAAATCGCCTATCCCGCCGATTTTCGAGAAATGAGCATCTCACAATCGTTGCTAGCTTTTACTCGGCCCGTTGGCCGATTAATTTGCTTTATAAAACTTTCATCTTGTCGTCATTGTGCTTTCTGGTTTTTGCCAAGCCATGATAAAATCTAAAGAAATCAAGAATGAACAACACGATTTGGGATAGGAACCATCGTTCCTGTATCCCTAGAAAATGGTGGTAAACACGGACTCACCTGCCAAACTGGTTTGGATTGAGATTTTTATCGGGTATCATTGAACCATGTGATTATAAATTAGACTTGATCAAAACGGGCCAAAACTTGAAATTCAGCCTGTTTGACCGACCCATGCCAAACTCTAATTATTCTTTACTTTTAAACTTTCTATTTGAAAATAAAAAATAATGAAAGAGAAAAGATGACTGCAATTCGCCATTTGCACATCATTAATTCGGGAATAAAACTATAGAATTTCAAAAGAAAACTGAAAATGTTTAGGATCGTTTTAATGTTAAAAATAACCAAATAGATCTTTCTATTTATTTTTTTACTAACAAATACCAAACGATTCCCTATAAAATACACTATAATTTAATAATTATGATATCAAATAATTACATAATATATATTTGAAATGATAAAAATTGGACTAATTGGGTTGGTCGAGGTTGAACCATTGGATAACTTTAAAATACATTATATTTAGTCACTAAGATATAAAATAATAGCATAATATATATTATGCTAGAGAAAATAACTTGTTTTAGAATGACAAACCCATGATGTTAATTTGTTTTACTTGATGGGCAAATCTCGTGTAGGTCAGGCCCATTCAACTCTTTTATTTTATGGTTAGCGGTTAGCCAATTAGAATCCATGCATTAATTTATTGTTAATTTTTTTCTTTTTAGAAATAAAAAGGAGTATTGTTTTTCCCTTTTCATATATATTTTACCACCACGGAGAAATAAAATGGCTTAAAAAAAAATTGACACTCCTGGGCCCGTTTAAATCCGCATGTGTACGGTAAGATGACCCGTTCCCCAAATGAAAAAGAAAAAAATTGACACTCCCTATTATACCCTTCTTACAAACGCTCCTAGAGCAGGGAATTTGAAATGGGGGAATGGTTTTTTCCTCTTTGCTATTATATGTTTTTAATTTAAAAAAAATACAACAAATGTATTTAGTGTGATTGGTTATGATGTTTGCTTTTTTTAAAGTGGTCATGGTTCGAATTCTAATATGTGCCTTTTTAATGAATAAAAAAAGTAATTGTGAACACCAAAATGTTCTTCCTACTTTCACTCTGAATGCAGGAAATTTAAAATAGGACGAAAGTTTTCTCATTTGGCTTTTATTTATTGCCTAGAAGACCCAACCACCCCGCTTTCTCGTTTGAAACGGCTCCGGCTCCCGTCTTCGTCGGCGTTGGCCGCTGTGAGACTGACTGGACAGTAAGACGGGATGGAGGAAGGGGAAGTGCTGGAGCTCTATGAACTTCATTACTCCGATTTAATGGCGATGTCTTCTGATTTAACAGCGCACCCTAATCAGCTAAACCATGATCTCTCAACTCCCTCGCCGGAGGAGCGACGAAGACTGGAAACTGTCAGGAGGTCGGTGATGGAAACCCTAGGTCCGACGGGTTCAGGGCTTCTTTCCATCACCGGCGTCCCTAATGCTTCTCTTCTTCGCAGGCGCCTTCTCCCTCTCGCAAGGAAGCTCGCTCTTCTGGACAACGACCAGCGGAAGCGCATTCTCAAGGTTTGTATGTCTTTCCCCTCAAATCCCGCTCCTTCACTCGACGACGAGCTAGTGTTCAGAAGTTGCAATTCGGGTTTGGATCACTTGATTTTTGTTCTGCTGCAATGCGCGGGAAAATGAAATTGTTGAGCTGAATGAGGGAATCTTACTGGGGCAGGAAATTGACCAAGGATATTCTTCTCCTCACCCTAAACTGAACACTGTAGCCAAAAGTAAGGAGAAAAGATTCCAATTTTCATTTTTGGATTTTTATGTAACAGTTTATGCTTTGCAACCGATACATATATATGAATTATGATATTATAGCATGCCTCCAGATTGCTTCTGCTGCTCTCCGATGCAAATTGAACAGAGTAATATTTTGGGGGTTTTCACTCCATGGTTATGGTTTTTATGTTTTGTTCCTCTAATGTTTCGTCTTAACGGGTATGCAGGAATGTGGCTTGGGGAGTGATGTTCCATTGAAGAACCCAGATAGGAAAGTATCCTCCTTTGCAATGCAGCTGAAATACACTGAATTTCTCGAGTCCGGTCAAGCTATTTATACGCCTTGCAGCTTTGCAAGGACTGATTTGGACGCTGACCATAGCTGCTTAGATTCAGTGTCAGGGGATGATGACTATAAGAATCTTGCTGATGTTTTCAAGGAGCTAGGACACCGCATGATGCAGCTAGGATTATGTCTTGCGCAAGTGTGTGATAAAGCAATTGGTGGCAAAGAGTTGGAGAAGAGCTTGCTTGAATCAGGCACAGCAAAGGGGCGTCTGATACATTATCATTCAGCCCTTGACAATGTTCTTGGAAAAGAAACTGCAAGAAGAAACCTGGGGTCATCAAGAAAAATGGGTAATGCCAAAACCAGCAAAGGATATCCCTTGTTGAGTGCGGACTCTGCATTCGTTGAAAATGGCAGTCATGAAAAGCTATGGCAGCAATGGCATTATGATTACGGTATCTTCACTGTTCTGACAGCACCTATGTTTCTTGTTCCATCTCATCTGTCAGAAAATGGGATCACATCTCAACTTCCTTCAGTTACTTACGCTGAAGAATGCTCTTATCCTGGTGGGAATTCGTATTTGCAAGTCTTTCATCCGAACAATAACGCAGTGGTCATGGTGAAAGCTTCTCCAGAAAGTTTCATTGTTCAAGTTGGAGAATCAGCTGATATCATATCAAAGGGAAAACTCCGTCCTACCCTTCACTGTGTAACCAGGCCAGAGAAGATGGACTATTTAAGCAGAGAAACGTTTGTGGTGTTTTTACAGCCTTCTTGGAGCAAAACATTTTCGCTCTCTGGTTACAATGGCTCGCAGCGCTCTTGTTTAGATGACCGATGGTCGGGTGAAGAAAATGGCTCTTCTAGGCCTGGTTCAAAAGATTTGAAGGAGCATATTCATAAAATGGTTCCACCCCTTTCTTCGCGTTTAAAAGACGGAATGACATTCGCTGAATTTGCACGTGAAACTACCAAGCGGTATTATGGGGGTGGTGGATTGCAGTCAAACAGTTAGCCAGCTTGTGTTTTGGTTTTCTTTTTGTGGAATGCTGGTGAACCCCACTCCTGGTAAGACATAATTTATGATCTTTGTGCGGCAGTCATGTTTGAATGTGATTCCTCAGTTTGCATTAGTGAACTTAGGTTGCTTAGCCTTTGTTTTTCACACTGTATAGCAATTTTCGTTATTCCCTAAACCCTAACGGATTCTGCTGTGTTTATATTAGGGTCTAGTCACATTTGTCAAGATGAATAAGACTCGTCTTTGCTGTTGAAAGGGGCGTGGTGTTATGTTCTTGCTGGAAATGGCCCCCCTGTACTAATAGTAGAAATTTTCAACTCTGCTTCGTAAGAAAATCGTGTGTTACTCGATTGATCATTCATTCATACAGTTGCTTTCTGGTTTGCAGTGGTTAGTTCTTTGTGTGAGAGAGGGACCGAAAGACAACAATGCAAACATTCTTAAACAGTTATTGGCATTGGTGCTTAACTGGAATGCATGCCATAAAGTACCAGGGAGCTTTCTGTGCATTGATTCTTTGGAAAAAAAAAGTGGAATCCGTGCTCCCCCAGTTTGTTCCAGAAGTGTTGGGAATCTCCTGCTCAATGGAATAGCCAGCCGAATGAGGACAAAGGATATATATTCAGCAGCATGTTCAATCAAGTTGGTTAGTAGGTTGATGGATGGACTCTCTATTCCTGCTTGATCTGTAAATCTCGACCCGAGTTTGGACTTATTAAGCCAAGTAGCAGCTCGAAGTCACCGGAAATATATATGCTTGGACCTCCTACTCTTTTTCCTCTCTGTATATAAAGAACTAGCTATCGCTTCGCGTATCACAAAGATAAATATTTTTAAAAGAAGTAATTTTAATGTTGACCAAAAAATAAAAGTCATCTTATTTAATTGCTAATCATTCTTTTCGTAGGTTTGTTATTTACAATAGCATATGGTCAATGAACTTGCCTAAGGTAGAGTGGTCATCGAATAGATTATTAATTTTTAAACTTAAATCATTCTTTTCGTAGGTTTGTTATTTACAATAGCATATGGTTGATGAACTTGCATAAGGTAGAGTGGTCGTCGAATAGATTATTAATTTTTAAATTTCTTTCATGACGCTAATGTTTCAATTTGTATGATTTTTTTTTTGTGTTTGAGCTAATCGTGGTTCTACTTTATGAATTTTTTTGGACTAATTGCATGTTTGAGGAGGTTAAACTCACATTGATCGGGTCAAATTAGGTTAGATACCCATGGATTTGGGTTCAATTGTTTTTTTCAAATAAAAGGAAAAAGCGAAATGAAAAACACTAAAACTAAAACTCGTCAACACCAGGTTAAACTCGCTTTGACTTGGTTGGACCGAGTTTTAGACAAATTCACACCTGACACAACACGACTATTACAAAAACAGATAAAACTCACTATCGCTGAAAACTGGTCAACAAAGTGTTCAACTCGCATTGAATAATTTTTTAACAAATTCACACTTGGTCCAACCTGCCAACTACAAAAGTGGATAAAGCTCGCTCACAATACAACACTCGTCAAAACCTTAGATTCGGGTTCAATTGTCTTCCCAACCAAAAGAAGAAGAAGAAAAAAGAAATTATAAGTGCGAAAGTCGGCTTCAAGTCTTTTTGACTTGATCGAATTAGGTTGGATACCCATGGATTTGAGTTCAATTGTGATCATGCTCAATAAAATGAAAAAAAAATCATTAGAGGATGAAACTCGGTCCTGATACAAAAATCGTGCTAACTGCATTGGGAAACGATGGTGGGGAACAACTTAGGATTCCGCGGACAGTATTTCGAGATGGGCTGCAAAATGGTGGGCAAATACGATGATTTTTGCAAAAACTCATAGATGAAAACCTAGCGAACAATAACAAAACACTAAAGAGGATGAAACTCGATCCAGATACAAACTCGTGGTAGCGGCCTTGGGAAACGATGATGGAGAACAACTTAGGATTTCATCGACAGTATTTTGAGATGGGCTGCAAAATGGTGGGCAAAGGCGATGATTTATGTTCAAGTTAGGATACCCATGTGTTTGGGTTCAATTGTGATCATGCTCAACTAAAAGGAAAAAAAGAAAGAAAAACCAAAGAGGATGAAACTCGATCCCGATACAAAAATCGTGGTAGAGGCCTTGGAAAAGGATGGTGGAGAACAACTTAGTATTACGCCGACAGTATTTCGAGATGGGCTGCAAAATGGTGGGCAAAGGCGATGATTTTTGCAAAAAGCCATAGATGAAAACCTAGCGAACAATAAATAAACAGAAAGGCGATGATTGTGCAAAAAAACATATACGAAAACCTAACGAACAATAACAAAACACAAAGGTGATGATTTGTGCAAAAAGTCATAGACGAAAACCTAGCGAACAATAACTAAACACAAGGTTGTAGAATGGTGGGCTGCAAAATGGTGGGCAAATGCGATGATTTTTACAAAAACTCATAGATGAAAACCTAGCAAACAATAACAAAACACTAAAGAGGATGAAACTCGGTCCAGATACAAAACTCATGGTAGCGGCCTTGGGAAACGATGATGGAGAACAACTTAGGATTCCATTGACAGTATTTTGAGATGGGCTGCAAAATGGTGGGCAAATGCGATGATTTATGTTCAAGTTAGGATACCCATGTGTTTGTGTTCAATTTTGATCATGCTCAACTAAAAGGAAAAAAAGAAAGAAAAAACACCAAAGAGGATGAAACTCGATCTCGATACAAAAATCGTGGTAGAGGCCTTGGAAAAGGATGGTGGAGAACAACTTAGTATTCCGCCGACAGTATTTCGAGATGGGTTGCAAAATGGTGGGCAAAGCCGATGATTTTTGCAAAAAGCCATAGATGAAAACCTAGCGAACAATAAATAAACAAAAAGACGATGATTGTGCAAAAAACATATACGAAAATCTAACAAAAAATAACAAAACACAAAGGTGATGATTTGTGCAAAAAGTCATAGACGAAAACTTAGCGAACAATAACTAAACACAAAGGTTGTAGAATGGAGAATGAGGTAAAAGAAGGACTTAGAACTTCCCCACTTGCACTTGGAGGAGTGTGAGAGCCACTAATGAATAGTAACTCAAACCTAGGCTTTTATATATTAATTAATTAATGATTAATTAATTATTTATTTACCCTTGCTACTTTCGCCTGCATTGCCTTAGCTGTCTTGATTCTGGAACAACAATAACCAACCCGGATTAGACGAAATCCAGACATCTAGGTTTCGTGTCAAAAGAAACTTATATGTGATTATCATTCTCAGAAGCCCGTGTTTAATAAGGTTACAGCACGTGTTTAATAAGGTTACAGCAGAAGCTGCTATGACTGAACTGTTGGACACATCTCATCATATTGATTCTGGTTTGTTGCATTATTGTGCAGCCCGGCTGGAGGTGAAGCCGTGAAGGGAACATAACTGGGAAGAAAACAACTGTAATGTGGACAAATGCATCAATTGTAGAATGGAGGGTAGAGTTGTTGGTGGTGGTGACTGGTGAAGGGATGATGATTGGAGAGAATGTGGCTAAAAGGAAAGAAAGAAAGAGTGTTTCTTAACGAAGTGGTCACACAACTGAAGTCTGAGTCTACACAGTACCGAGCTTTGCTTTATCAAAGATACAAGGGGAAATAAAGAGAGCCGGGTGAGTGTGTGGATTGTATTTTGGAAGAAGTAAGATCTTCCTGATCAGCAAATGGACAAAGTGCCAAAAACAGAGGATGGAGTAGATTGATGGCAAGTATGGGTTTTTGCTAAGAAAGAGAGAAATGGAAGATGTGAGTGTGATAGTGATGAAGTAGTTACTAGTTTTTTTTTTACAAAATATATTGAAACAATAGATGTTACATCCTGAAATTTAGCCTGTCCAGAAAATTAAAGAAATGACAAGTAGTCAGGTACAATGAAAAGACATTTCTAGCTACTAAATGGACTACACTATTACAGTATTACTACTCCGACCTATAAATCACACATTAAGCCTAGTGTGAAAAGCCAACTAGTGCAAGATTTCCTCTATGATGGCACCTGTCCGATTATCACGGGCATATGCCTAATTGATTTTATCAATGATAACTTTGGCATTTCCTTCCAACCTCATTTCCGCGAACTCATTCTCCAGTCAGCACAAAATGGCCTCTCGAAAAACCAGGAGTTCGACCATCATAGGATCATCAATCTCAGCAAATTGCACACCTTTTGCCAAAAGGACCATCCATTCTTGGTTTTTTATAATCATACCCCCTACTAAATGGGATCTACTCTTCGCCGCCCCATCCCACATGCAGATAACTGAATTAGGGTATCTGCCACTCCAGTAACTCGCCTATGGGTTGGATGGCCGCACAACGCTGTCGATAGGCAACCTAATCCACTCCTGATACTGTTGGTGAAATTGTCGCATCAAATCTTGGATCCCATCAAATCTGGGATCCCAAATTGTTTGCCCTCAAAGACAACCCCATTTTGTGAACGCCAGAGCCGCCATAAACAGTTGTGGTTGATGTATAAGTAACATCAACTTTTTAAGAAAGAGCGGAAAAGTGTGAAGAGGCAAACCTTGTCCAAGATATTCGTGACCCGAATGATCCCATATTGCCCTTGCCACAGGGCAATCAACAAACAGATGTTCCATTGTTTCCGAATCTGCCCAACAAACCGGGCACGTGGGAAGCACCTGAACTTCCTTCTCAATTAGGGCTTCCGTCATTGGGAAAATTCGGTGGAATATTTACCATAAAAACACCTTATGTTCGGGTGGAATCTGGGCTTCCCAAAACCAGAATTTGGCCTATCCATCCAACTAGCCATAGGTCACCACCGATCTATCTGCTTATCTAGCAAGGCTGCTAGATGACAAGCCGATTTTACAGTGGAATTCTTGTCACTCGTATCAAACCACTGGCTCTCAATATCTTGACGAGGAAGAGGGATTGCTTTGATGGCACGAGAAGTACCCGGGTCAAACTACTGGCTTAGTTTGATGTCACACATTCGCCTTTCTCTTTGCCATATCACCTCGGACACCTTCGGATCCCGTCCTCCGGTAACACCTTGGGGACTATGCATAAGGGTATGGGGGTCTAGACGAGGAATCCAATTTGAGTGTAGCATTGAAGTTGTCTGCCCATTACCAATCTGCCACCGTAGCCCATTCACAAATAGTTGTCGTCCAAACAGGATACTCTGTCATCTCCAAGATGGGCGAGATCGCACAGTAGTAGTGAGGAAGGTCCCTATTAGAAAATATTTCCCCTTGTAAACCTGGGTTAGGAGCGACTAAGGTTCGTTTAGTATGCGCCATCCAATCAAGGCCAGCTGTTAAAATGCTCGAAGCAGCGAAGCCCCATTTCCTCATCGTGTTTACTTCGGCACATGTTCTGTCAGGACATCCATCAAATTCGGGAATGGCCAGCCTGAACACCCCACCAAAATCTGGCTACGTGTTTGTCTAAGATTCGACAAAGAGAGAGCGGGAGCTTGAAACAGGACATGACATGTAATGCCAGAGCTGAAGCCACTTATCTAATCAATGTCTCGTTGGCTGCCTAAGACTGTATCCTTTGCAACTATCGTGAAGCCGATGCAACGTTTCTGCCAAAAATCGTAAAGTAGCCATTTTCTACTGGGCTATCAACGTTGACAGTCCTAGATATTTATCGTGGACCCCCACGGCCCCCATCTCCCAGAATATGAGCCATAAAATTTTGGTCCGGAAGAGATATATTTTTACTAAAGTACACTACCGATTTGGTTCTCGTATTAGGTTCTCACATTCTTGTACAGAACCTCTAAGAAATAAGTAAGAGTCGTCTGCAAAAAATAGATGTGAGATCCTTGGAGCTCGGGGAAACTTTTACCTCTTCTATCTTTCCGTTTGCAATGGCCTTGGTAAAATCTTGCTAGAACTTATTTTTGTTCAAGTTTAACATTATGCCTTCCATTGTGAATTGTTTTTTTTTAAGACCATTGTGAATTGTTAGTTGTTGAGTTTTGATTGATTTGATTTCTTTTTGATAATTTGTGCAGTGAGTAATTTGTATTGTGAGTGAACTTAGCAATTTATGGCATTGGATAGAAATTTATGGGAAATTTGATGCAGAAACAGGTAGCAGGGGTTCTAGAAATTTATAAAAAACTGAATACAAATCCACCTTTGAAGGCTTCAGCTATGCGTTTTGAGAAACCGTCGTTAAATATTTATTTCTAGGGGTTTGGACTTTGGAATACTGCTAAATGCTGAATAAATTCCCAGTAGCAGGGGTTCTGAACCGTCGTTGTCTAACACTTGTAACCGCCGCTATGTTTACTATCTCAGGAATCAAAAAGGCAAATGGCGATGGTTTTGACCGCTTCAGAACCGTCGCAAGGGACTTCCACCAGCGGTTGAGCAGACCACTGTCATACCTGTACAACAGTTGTTCTTACAGCGGTGACAAAAACCGCTGGCGGTATATTTAGCGACGGTTTATTTTGTCGCTAAATGAGGAAAAATCCCCTACTATATGTATTTTATTTTGTAGTGAACACCAGTTGACAGTGGCGGAGCCAGCTCATACCAAGGTGGGTCTCGGGACCCACCTTGACTCAAGATTATAGTGTTTGTAAAATCGTATTGTATAGGTGGTTCGATCGAGAAAACCTTCTATTGGATTTTAAATCGTAGACAGTTTTTTAGTAGTATAAAATGGTTGAATTACGATTAAACCATGGTTTCAACATAAATATCATACTATTGACTTTTTTAGTACAACCACTGCTACGGATTTACAATCCTTTCTAAATTATTACACAAATAACAATATTTGTACACAATTAATAACTCCGGAACATATTACCTCATGTTTACTGGTTTTACTTATCTACAAATAAATTGTAGAAAACTTTGTGGTACATATGAACCTTGCATATTATATAAATAACTCTTGACTTTATATAAAACTGTGTCCCTAATTATGTATTATAAAATTACTAATTTCTAATTTAGTATCGAATTATCCACCTTCCAACGAAAATATGTCGACATACTATGAAACGCGTCATAGATAATTTCATTTATTTTATATAATTTTATTTTTATGTCGGACCCACCTTAAGTGAAATTCTGGCTACGCCACCGCCAGTTGATACAATATCCATCAAGTTGTAATCGATCTGCTAACATTTCACAGTAGATGTTAATGTTCCATGTCCAAACTCCCTTACCCCTTACTTTCTGTTGATGAGTACATTTTCATGATTAAGTATAACGAGAGTGGGATCGTGATAGTGTTCACCATCAATCGGAATTGCTGTCATAATTGTTCACATTGCTTTATCTGGAAAGACAACGAAAGTGTGAGATTTTTCCAATAATAGCACCTTTTAAAAAAAATTACAAAACTAGCACACATCCGATAAAATTTACACTACTAGCACCTATTTTTATAGAACGCACCTTAGAGGTGCGTTTTATAAATAAACCGCACGTCCGCACCCTAAGGGAGCGTTTCTAACATAAAACGCACCTCTAAGGTGCGCTTTATGCCAAGTCAGAATGGGAAACGCACCTCCAAGTTCACCGCACGGGATATGACCCAGTGGCCGTGTCTCTTGCTGTTGATGGCCCGAATCCTAACATTGCACCCGTCGTGATGATTACGGCATCTGACTATGAGCCTTTTGGTGTTGGAATGAGTTGTGTGCCATTCAAAATGCCGAGTCATTGCTTCAGTCTCAATGGCGTGCCGCACATCCTTCTTCGAGCCAAATTGTTGGCCCTTCGTAAACCCAGTGAGTGGGCCCCATATTGGGACCTCTGGCGGCTCCATGTCGATGTCGACCATCCAATTGTCGTCTGGAATGTGATTGTAGTAGGGGACTGGTACACGGTCAGGAGCCACATCATGATCATTATCTGAATCTGACTCTGGTCCTTAATCATCAGCACCTTCAAGAGGGTCGGAGCTGTCTGCACTGACGTTGTTCTCTCCTTCTTCATCGGAGGGGTCGCTGACTGGTGCTGGCATGGCAGCTTCCATCTCATCCAGCTCATGAAAGGCACCTTCATCAGCTCCATAATGGTAGTTGTGAAAACTACCGCTGCCTGATTGGAAGTTGTACTGGGGTTGGTGGCCGAGGTCCGGTTGAACTTCTTCTTCATATGAAGGGAAAGATTGATGATGGCCTTCACCTTGCCCTCCATCTTGGTACTGAAAATAGAAATGAGGATCATGGTAACTTTGGTAGGGATGTTCGCCATATAATTCACCTCCACCATGGATACCGGATGTTTGACCGTATCCAGAATGACCTCCAACACCAACGGCTGCTCGGTGTAAACGAACATCTCGGCTTTGGCCAATTTGTTGGACCTCAAGAATTCGAGCATGGAATCTACTTCATCTTGAGTGGTTATGGTATATTCCTCATGCCACAATGACCCACTTTCTCTGTTTGGATATCACTACACCATTCGATCTACTCTTCTCGTGCCATCCATGCAAGTAACGTTAGTGCATATTTGATGGAGGTCTTCAAGCTTCGGTCTGGTACCGACCGTTATTTTCTGAAAATTGCCACCGACGTAGGTGGCCCCCTTTCCGGTCTCTTCTGTGTAACCATTCCACCGTAAGCCAAGTGTGAACTGACGGAATGCCATCTGCACACAAAAAAACCGTAGTTCAGTTAATATCATAAAAATCACAAATCACAAATAACAATAAAAAGTAACACAAAATAAACTTACGAGTTCATGTTAATGGCAAAAACACTAAAGAAATATAGGAATACAACAGAAAAATGAAAAGAGAGAAGGGGAGGTGTGAAGAGTAGAGGTTTTCCGGCAGTCTTATATAGGGAAAAAAATGAGGAAACCGCACCTCTAAGGTGCGGTTTTAGTCTGCCATGCAGCCCTACGTCCATAATTCTCTGCATGGGTTTGTCGGGTGTCGGAAAATTATTGACACACAGACCGCACTTGGGGGGTGCGGTCTGTATGGCTAAACCGCACCTTAGAGATGCGGTTTGGTTTTGGAGGAACAAACCGCATCTCTAAGGTGCGGTTTGGCTAGGTCAGGCCAAAACCGCACCTCGGCCATGCGGTTTGTGTAGGGCAGACATAAAAACGCATGCCCAAGATGCGGTTTCGGCCCAGGAAAATGGACCGCACCCTAGAGGTGCGGTCCATAAAAAAGGGCGCTAGTTTTGTAAATATTTTCGGAAGAGTGCTAGTTTTGTAATTTTTTTTAAAAGGTGCTATTTCTGGAAAAAATTCCGAAAGTGTTCCATCATAGTCGAGTTTTTAATGCATTAATATATTGATAGTGATACCTTTAATATGCAAAACTCAAAGTTATGCATAAATCTATAATCTAATTTTATTAAGTAAAATAATATCTACATTTAAGAGTTCATATTATATGGCAGTTGGTATGTTATTTAGGTGCCTTCCCTAGCGCCTAGGCGTCGGCTAAGCATGTCTAGACATTGAAAAAACTAAAAAAATTATTTTACATTATGAATGAAATAATAATTTACAACACTTTTAAACTTCATTTAAAATAATTAATAACCTATTTAACACTTAACAATAAGAAACTTATCTCACAAACATAGAATCATAGCTCAATACCTCACGTAATTTTTTAACCTATCAAAAGTATTGATATAGAAAATTTAGTTTGTAAATGATTGATATTTACTGCCTAACTCCATCTGGTTACTTATGCTTAGAAGAAACGTAAGTGTCGCATTACTACTAGGGATGGCAACCCTGCCCGGCTCGCCGGGTATCCATCCGTAACCCGCATGGACAGAGGTCAAAAAATCCGTCAATCATAGGTAAAGCACGGATCCGGGTATACCCGAAACCCGATAGTAGTGGGCAACGGGTGGTGATGGATCTCGTAGCCAAACTTCCATGCACACGCGCAGAAGAAAGCAACATTGATCACTGTTTCACCGCAATCCCTAATCACCCATCGCCCAATTCCACTGCCAACGAAAAATTCCCTCCTCCTTCTCCTCAATATAGCGATCGTTGGCCACTGACTTTGCCCTGATCGTCGGCCATCAAGAAGACCTGTGTATTTGGGGGCGACGGGGAAGGTAAGTTCTCTGTACATCGTCGGCAGCAGTTTTCCGTAAGGTCCTCCCCAACTTCCTCTCAATAGTGGACACTGGCCGTAGGGATCCGTGGGTTCCCCGAACCCGTCGACGGACGGTGACGGTAGCTAGGCTATCCCGTTTAGCCGCCGAAAACGGGGATGGGGAAAACCGTCAAGGTTGACGGGCGGGGATCGAGAGGCTTGTACCCGCCCCCGATCTGCCCCGTTGCCATCCCTAATTACTACATCGACATGTTCCCAATATCCAATTTGTTGTCTAACCCTAGGCAAGACGATTTGGTATTTGTCCAACACCAAAGCATGCGTAAACACAAGTTTAAGCACGTCTTTTTTGAATGTGAGCTCTCACCCAATAGTTAACAGGCTTTTTCAATTATCTCACAAAACTTCATGAATGAGAAGTTTTCGGGAGATGCCTAATCCGCTCACCAAGTCATCTGGCAGCAGGGCTTTCCGCTCCAAGAGGTGCATCTCTGTCGGCTGTTCAGCAGAGAAAGATCTCGACTTGCGGAAACTTTTAGAGTAGGAGTTAAGACTTTCCCAAGCAGATGAGTCCTATGTTATGCAAAGGAAGACGAAATAAATCATCTCCTTCAAAATTGCAGGTTTGCAAGGGAAGTGTGGTATGTCATTGGCAGGTTTGTAAAACTTGACAGTTGTTGAGGAATTATATCATAAGGTAAGTAAGAGAATGGCCTTGACAAACACCAGCATGTCCTATGAAATGAACTGCAGTTATGCCGTGTCAAGGGATCGCATCCTTGTGGGTTAAGACGTCAAGTGCCCTCTGGCTGGATGAACACTGCAGGTTTTTGTTAGATACTAAAGCGAACTCTCAAGCATATAAGCAACCGACTAGAGACCTTCCTGGCACATTCAACAAAATACTATATTCAGTTTCAACATTTCTTCCCCCCAATAGTAACAGTCTCATCACATTTACATCTATCTTCTACAACTGAATATCCATAAACCAAAGAGGGAAAGTAGAGACCCTAAAGCCACTAGTTACAATTTCACTCGGTGGCTGTGTGAAGACTTCATAAGAATCCAAAGGGTTCATCATAGGCACTCTACGAATCGGCAGCCCTGAAGATGGTCAACAATGAGAGGAACAGGTTGATGATGTCCAAGTAGAGAGATACAGCAGCCCAGATATATTCATCATATGAGTAGCGCTTGATGAGGTTGTCCGTGTCGTACACAATGTAACCACAGAAGATGATTGAAGCCAAGCACCCGTAAATCGTCTGTGACAGCTTACCCAATGGGAACAGAATCTGCATCCACAAGCACACACAGTCATGGAAATGAAACGTCACATTCCAGAATAGATTTTATCAGTCGTTGGGACAAGATCCAAAAAGCATAGATTCAAGGGTGTCCAAACCTGGATGAAAGCAAAAACCATGAGGACAAGTACAGCACCAAACAAGAAGGGTCCAAGGAAATTGAAATCATAGCCTCTCTTAGCTGCCCAGAATGTGAAGAGGGTTAAACCCACAACCATTGTGGCTGTCAGGATCACAGCTTCCAGGATAACTTTCCCTGTTGCCAAGTCAAATCAGTGTCTCTTCTTAGTCAGAACCACGAATAGATGTTAAAAGCTGTCATGAGAAAGGCGTCAACTCTCGTGGAGAGGGGGCATCAGCTAAATGGCAAAATGGAGTTTGGCGCTAAAATGTCAAGCAGCTTAAGCAAAAGTGTAGGATAACAATTATCAAAAAGAGAGAAGTGGACCAGCAACCAGCCAGTATCAGTTTACGAAACCATGACAGCTCTAATCTGTAACCATTTCACTTATAAGGAATCCTCCACATGAACCCTCTCTCGCATACCAAGCCACTACCAATGCCGCTAGCCTATCATTCTGCCCCTGATACTGGAGATTTGGCCATATAGGACAAGAGCACAATGCAGCCAAATATGCTTCTATCCAGTGTTCAAGAAGACGCTAGGCGCTATCTAGGCGAGGAGGCACCGCCCAGCGCCCAGGCCGATTAGTCGTTGCCTAGGCGGGATTAAACGTTGAAAAAAATATATGATAAATAAGCCATATTACACAAAAACTCAAGTCACCATATCATTATTCATGCATTCATATACACATACAACCCTTTTCCATTATCCCAAACATCCCAAGTCGCCAACCATGAGGAGGGATCTCACTGCTGGTCGATAAGGGGAGCGGCTGGTCAAATGGAAATGGGTAATAGAATAGGGATTGAGATTTTCACAAAAAAACTACACTTTCCCCCTTTATTAGTTGTTCTGGGCGTCGCCCACCAGAGTGAAAACTCGCCTCCAAATGCCTAGGTGCCTAGATCAATCGCCCAGGGCTAGACGGGGCGATTTCCTCCTGCCTAGCTATTAATCGCGCCTAGGCGAGAGATTAATCGCGTCTTCTTGAACACTGCTTCTATCTCAGGCTTGGGTGATGAGATAGAACCTAAACGACAGAGGTTCATACACACGTCAACAAGTCCTCATGGACAGGGAAAAACCGAGTGCATCTATTGTGGCACAAGGAGGGCTTCGAAGGTACTACTGACCTACATACATATATACCAAGAATGGACAGCACGAGACTGGAAGACACCAGACGAGCTCCCATACAAAAGATTCCCCTGAGCTGGGGCAATCTTGATGCTAACGTCACCAAACCATCATTGATCAAGGGGCAAGGTCTAATTGAAAGGATTCCACGCACTACCAAACCCTAAGAGAGAAACCTAGTCTGTAAAACTACCACGGCCCAATTCCACCAAAATTACCAAACGAGATTGAAATGGACTTACCGCTGGTGAATGCGCACGTCAATCCCACGGCGAAAGCAATCGTTATGGTGAAAATCCCCAAGAGAATATAGTTCACGGGATGCTTCTGGTGATAGTAATACAACGGGCACAGAACTACACGAGAGAGAAAAAAATCGCCGGAAAAGATCAAACCAGCGAGATAAAGAAACGCTGAGACTACATTTCGACTGAAAGATGGGGAAGGCAAATTGAGAGAAACCGGGGAGAGAAAAAGAAATTGAAGAGAGTTCTCACCAATGAAGGGCGTGACGAGGAGGACGATGTAGACAGCCAATCCAGCGCCGGAACTGACGAAGAAGGTCGCAATCGGGCGCACGGAGACGACGGTTGCGGCGACGGCGATGGTGGCGAGCAACTGGATGGAGATGATGGAGTAGATTTTCCTGATGAAAGACCAGCGGAGCTCCGGGCTTTCCAGCATCATCGGGTACAGAGGCCTCGAGGCTCCGGCCTCCACGTCATTCTTCCGGCTAGGCTGGGCCCACATGATTTCGACTTTCCCTGAACAAGTTGTCGCTACAAGTCGGAGCTGCAAATGGTAGGGTTTGAAGATATTCTCTCGGCGGCGGAGACAGAGGAAGGAGGCGTATAGGAGTAGGAAAGCGAGGCGAGGCGAGGCGAGGCGGTTTCTTGATGGAGGAATTAGGGGAAGGAGGCGTGACTGGATGGTGGAGATAATAATAATAAAGCTGGAAAGCGGTTTGCGGTAGTATGGAGAAACTTCAAGATGCGTCGCGTATAGAGCGTCGTAGAACCGTGCCCGCGTTTGTTGTACACGTGGCGCAATAGTGATATGGACACGTGTCTTGACAACAGGGATCTTGAGCTCTCGGTAGTTGGCGAGTTTGGCGGCACAGCGGGTGACGTTAGCGAGTGCGGTTTAGGAAGGAAAATGGTGACGCGTTAGGCGAATGTGGTGTTTCGAGAGAAATCAGTAATGGCGTTTCCTTTCAAGCTAACCTTTTTTGGGCTTCTTAGACAAGTAGCGTAGTACACCAACCTTCGGCTTATTTGATACAGGTCGTAAATGAGCCGATCTGTTTGCACACCGTTCCCAACTCAATTCGAAAATTTTGTTTTTGCTCCATTTTTAATGTGTTGATTCGTGAGGCGACTCGTTTGTTAAGGAGTTGAGCACGAGTCGAAGCCTCTTCAACTTGGTCAAGCTACTTCACTTTGTTGAGACGGCCTCCTGAGCTGGCTCGATAGTGTGGTTTGCGAGTTAGTTCAATTGAAACTCACAAGATAACTTAATATTGTGGCTCGAAACTGAAATCAATTTAAAGTCAACTTGATGGTATGCCTCGCAAACCAACTCAATTAGCTGCTCATTACATTGGCTCCTAAATTGGCTTACTGTAAGTCATATAGCTCGTATGTTGGTTAGATAATATATATTTCAACTTACTGTTAGTGATATACTTAAATTCGTAGGTTGGTTATACTACATATCTTACAACTTAATGTAGTTTGAGAATTTGTATAAATGGCAGAATAATCATTATATACTTGTGTGTCATATCTTAGATTTATGCATACTAAACATACATACATAAATACCACTCATCAAATATAAATTACTAATTACCAAGTAACATATAGACTTTTTAAAGTTCGGTATATGAATTGGTTTGTTGAACTTATGCTGAAATTTGTTAATGATTTTTCATTTGGACTATGTACATAACTTTCTCTCGTTAGGTCATAGGTATATCACGGGAGCAGATTCGGTGAATAACCTTGTGGTGTTATAACCTCATGCATAACCCAATAAGAAACCACCACATCAGCGCCTCCTTCTCTCTCCTCGAAAAACCTTTAATTTTCTTTCTCTTAATCTTTAACAGACGATTTATAACTCGTTTTAACTCGATTTTTTTTTTTTTGCACAGTTTGATCATATTAATTGTGTTCTTCAAAATGATGTCCACTTTGATATTTTTTGGAACAAAAAAAATTGTCAGTTATTGTCAGTCTATACCATATGGTATTGACTGGTATTAAACAATGACATACCATATGGTATGAAAAATACCATCCAATACTAGGGTGGTATAGTATGGTATGGAGTTGGTAACGACAGGTATGAAATTTTTTCACCCAGAAAAATTTGAAATCCAATAGATCATGATTAAATCGTTCCTTTTGTGCAAAAAATTTCGAAAACAACTAAAAAACGAAGGAGATACTATATGGTATGGAGTTGGTAACGAGAAATATGAATTCTTTTTCTCAAAAAATATTAAAAATGGATATCATTTTGTAGAGCACAAGAAACTTGTTCCATCTCTGCAAAAAAATTGAAATCCGAGTTAGAATGAAGAAGATATGATCCAATCAAGAAAACTAGGGAAAATAAATTTCTTTAATTCTCCACCCTTAGATCTGCAGTCACCTAAAAGAAAGATTCATATTTGGTTACTCATAGTTATGCACTCTAAGTTTATGCACCCTATCTTGAGCCATGTATCACTTCCTATACGTCTATATTCCATCCCAAATGCTCTTTCCTATTATTTGTACCCCTCTACTAAGATAAATTAACAAACATACCTCTTTACTAAATTTTTGCACAAATATACTGATGGGCCACGTGGTTGAGCAGTATTGGACTTAAATCCCAAGGAGGAAAGTCAACAAGCCCGATCCGTATGGAGGCCCAGCCAGCGTGCAGTCAGGAGGAGCTAGCCGTCTATTCACAAACAAGACAGGATGACCGCCTGATATAAAGCACTTATGGTGACAAGAGGGAGATATCCGATTTAGATTTGCCTCTGTATAAGAAGGTCTAAGCATTAATTACCCGCCGTAGGCGGTCTCGTACGAGGTAAAGTAGGTTTAGGGCGCCTAACATAACATTTAATGCCCTAAACTCTCCACTAAGTAGGTATAAATACCCCATATGAGCATTGATGGTAACTTAACTACTTCCTCTCTCTAAACCTAACACATATTCCTACTTCTCTCTCTAACTTAAGCTTTGGAGAGTGTCTTGGGCAACCGCTCACGAACCCTTGTTTCGCAGGGTTCAGGAGTGCCTCCCATCATCAAGAATAGACGCTTCCCTCGTGCTCCGCAAAACCGCTAAGTACTTTCTAGGCCCTAACAATTTGGCGCCCACCGTGGGGCACAAAGTGAAGTATTGAAGAAATGGTGGATGGGAGCTCCGGAACTCCAGTCAGAGGCATAATAAAAAGAGAAGGCATTCATGGTTTAGAAATGCCAACAGTGGAAGAAGAAATGGAGATAGAAGATCGCGTAAAGAATCAGGGGCAACAAATCCTAACATGAGGAGAGGTTGAGCCAAATTCTCACCATGCTTAAAGGAAGGGATGCACCAGAGAGCTAAAAAAGGCAGAAGGACAAAGGCAAGGAGGAGAGACGAGATTCTTGCCATCCCTGATCAGACAAAAAGCGGGGAATCCGAAGAAGAGGAGGACGCGGAGGAGCTCAATCTGAGTTTCTTGGAGAAACACCTCTAGTCATCATACGGGAAAACAAAGAGTCACAGAAAAGTATGTTCAAAACACAAGTGATGTCCAACTTCTCATCGCTAGGACTGTTGGCCTAAAGTGGAAACTCCAACCCGACGGACCATTTAAGCGCCTTCATGCTCAAAATGAAACTTATAAATGTCTCAGACCCAGATCTGTGCAAGGCATTTCCAGTAACCTTCAGCGGTCAGTGCCAGATCTAGTATACTTCCCTCACAGAAGGAATAATCGAAAGTTTCAAGCGGTTCGCCATGCTCTTTTCGTCAAAATTCGCATCTTAAAGGATAAGGAAGCTCTCGATTTCAGCAGTTATCAACTGTAGACAAGGGGGGACGAAACGTTGATAGACTTTTACGACAGATGGAATACAATAGCTTGCAAAGTGAAGGGAATCTCACCAAGCCTAGCAGCTAGCAATCTGCGGATGTAAATACATAGTCGTGAGCTGAAGAGGACACTCATAGAAAAGAGCACAACCTAGGGTCTTGGTCAAACCTAGACCGCTTAGTGAGAAAGGCTATTGTGTTGGAAGAGGCGCTGACGACGGAAGATAATGTAAAGACCGCTCATCATAGAGCGGAGAACGCAGACAAAAGGTGAATAGAGTCGCCCAAAAAAAGGGGGTGTACGCCTGAGAGACGAAATTACAAACCCCAGTTCACTAACCAAGACAATAGGCCTGAAGTATTCGCCACTTGCAAGGAAGAAGGCAGACGCCGAGAAGGGACGAGTCAAAAGAAGCACAACAAACGCATAGGAGGGAAGAAGATCGAAAGTGGTGTGACTGGCACCAACTGGCAAATCATGACACCACAAAGTGTCGTGAATTCAAAGCCAGACTTAAGTACCTAGCACCTGGAGATTGGAGAAACCAGCTGGACACACAGGCGCACAACATGGAAATGACATATGAGCGGGAAAGGTCGCTAAGCCCAAGAAGAAGATCTCGTACGTCGCACATAAGAGATCAAAATCGCCAAGGCGGGAGCGGTCATCCCGGAGGGAACGCTTTCCACCACCACCAAGGCGTACCCCACCGCGATGACAACCTCGTATGAATGAAGATGACGTGGAAGTCATAAAAATATTTGGGGGGCACAAGTGACCCCGAATAGAAATGGACCGCCTGGCCAAGTGCTTGAGCATCCACAAAAGTGAGCAAGTGGAGATAAGTTTTTCACCCTCCGAGCTGGCACTAGAGGAGTGTGGATAAGATCCACTAGTAATTTCCTTCAGAACAAAGAAGTTCAAAGTCACTAGAGCATTGGTCGACAACAAGAGCTTAACAAACATCCTATTCTACTCCACCCTTAAAAGCATGAAAATGAGTGTACAAGATTTTAAGCCCTCGACGACTAGCCTGGTGGGATTCTCGGGATCCAAAATTCGGGTGCTAGGATCCATAAATCTACAAGTTACTATAGGAGAAGCTGGAGTGATGAAAACACGCCTCAAGGATTTTCATGTAGCTGACTTTCCATCGACATACAATGCGATCCTGAGCGTGGATTCCTGTCAACTTTGTCAACGGTCCCATCCACCTGTCACCATGCAGTCAAGTTTCCTATAGGGGCCAAAATCGGATGCGTTCGCAAAAAAGACCTAGCAAGCAAAGGAATGGTACCAAGCAACCATAAAAAAACCCGGAGGTCGATCTGGCCGACCCACAAGGAAGCCATCCCTAGCCTGAGTCGGTTGAAGAGGATACGGTCTTCGTCCTAAAAGAAGCAAAACCTCAGAAGAAAGTCAGAATTTTATCTCATCTCCCAGAGTGGAAAGCACGAGAAATCCTGATGCTTCTCAAGGAGTACAAAGACCTATTTGCATGGAGCTCATAAGATATGTCAGGAGTTTCAAAATAACTTATTGAATATCACCTAGCAGTCAAAAGCAAGGCAAGACCAATACAACAGAGGAGAAGAAATACCTCCCTAGAAAAGCAAATGGCACTAGAAGAGGAAGTGAAGCGGTTGCTGAAAGTCGGTTTTATTAGGGAAGTCAGGTATCCCACTTGCTTGGCTAATCCGGTCTTTGTTCGCAAAGCATCAGGATTATGGACAATGTGCATTGACTTCACGAATATCAATGCAGCCTGCCCGAAGGACGCATATCCTCTCCCAAGGATAGACCAAATTATTGATGCAACCGTCAACCATGAAACCTTAAGTTTCCTCGACATGTTCTCCGTATACCACCAAATACGGTT